TAAAAAAACTTGACTAAATTGAAATCTCGTAAAGGCCGCCCGACCATTTGTTATAATGGTATGCATGGAAGCACACAGATGGCTCTTATAATGATATGCATGGACGCACACAGATGGCTCTTATTATGGTATGCATGGAAGCACACAGATTGCTCTTATTATGGTATGCATGGAAGCACAAAGATGGCTCTTATAATGTTATGCATGGAAGCACACAGATGGCTCTTATAATGTTATGCATGGAAGCACACAGATGTCTCTTATAATGGTATGCATGGAAGCACACAGATGGCTCTTATAATGGTATGCATGGAAGCACACAGATGGCTCTTATAATGTTATGCATGGAAGCACACAGATGGCTCTTATAATGGTATGCATGGAAGCACACAGATGGCTCTTATAATGGTATGCATGGAAGCACACAGATGGCTCTACGCAGACTGCTGCTCTTGGGCTCAAAAACAAATTAATTTATTTAATGTTCACTTTAAACAATATATTTAATGTTTGGAAATAAAAAAAGTCTTTAATCTATATTCTAAATTTTGATTTTTCGTATTGTGAATTTCTGTTTGCTTAAATGAAAACAGAGACGCAGTGATTCACATGATTAATAATAGTGACTAATAACTTATTACATACGATCACAATAATAATAGCTAAGACTTGAGATACGAGCAAATACTCATGCCGAACATACTGGTTCTGAAAACACTTGGAATGTGTCCTATTACGTATTTCAATACAATCTTCTCGGTAAACTTCTTTTCGTGATAAGTGTTATCACACTATGGCCAAATCTTCTCACATAAATATCGTGAATCAACTTTCACCATTTAAGGAGCTAATTTACAAGCAATGCTTTAGGCCAGTGGTTCTTAACCTTTTTGGAGGTACTGAACTCCACCAGTTTCATATGCGCATTCACCGAACCATTCTTAATAGGAAAAATAAAATATGATTTTTTTCTGATTTTTTTGGACCTCCGCCGAACCCCTGAGACTTATTCACCGAACCCCTGGGGTTCGATCGAACCCAGGTTAAGAACCACAGCTTTAGACTTTAGATTTAGTAGTCTGGTCCACAAGGGATTATCCAAACTTTATCACGTGACCTGCTAAATCAATTATTGTTATATCAGATATTATTCAATTTCCCCTTATTTAATTTTCCTTAATAAGAAAAATAAAATATGATTTTTTTTTTTTTTTTTAAATTTTTCTTTTGGACCTCCACCGAATCCCTGAGACTGACTCACCGAACCCCTGGGGTTCGATCGAACCCAGGTTAAGAACCACTGCTTTAGGCGTTGACGGTTATTTTTCGATATGGTTAAACATTATTCGGTACAAGTCGGGGGGGGGGGTGGGGGTGGGGGCGAGGAGTTGGTGATGGGATCGACATCTTGAGCTCACCGCACGGGGTGACACCAATCCTATTAACAACTTAGCTATCTACGTCACAGTGCGTTTCACACTGTGGCAACAATAACAAGTCGGCCATGTCCGTCAACTGGAATGGTGAACACGGCGCCATTGAGGCGGTCACCGAGACCTCATGCCCGTACGATGGAAGAGCTCACACCACCTGACCATCTGGCCTTGACAACGACAACAAACCCTGATGCTGACCCTTGGCGATGGCTTCTGGAGATGAACCGTTTATCGTCCTTGAGCTGCAAGTCCTTCTAAAACTTGTGACCCTTTTTGTGTGGGGTGTGTGTGTGTTTGGTGGAGGGACCTTTATCGAATAGTTTGTCATCAGCTCTCCCCGAGAAGTCAACATGAGGCGCCCTTTACGTGAGGCAAGTCACCGTCACGCCTGGGCGCAACTCGAAGAATTCCCATTGAGTCAAGGACGAGATGATTAACATTTCAATGACTCCAACGACGCCGTGCGAAATAAATAGGAGAACAAACAACAACAACAAAAATGGAAACATTGAAAGGAAAAAACCAAGACGGTCCAATGGGCGCCTTCAGCAGCAGACTGAACGTTCTATTTTTATTTATTATTATTATTATTATTTTTAAAAAAAACTGTTAAACAATAATTTACTTGAGATCAGATACTGTCCATCCAGAATTAACGGTGCGGTAAACTCATAGTGTCACTCTTCACTCTTTTCCGGGACTCCCTTCCCCCCCCCCTAACCCCCCAACCCCCGGCCGGATCTGCTCTTAGCAATGCTTAACCAGATCTGACCGAATCCTTCATTAGCCAGGCAAAGTCCTAAAGCAGCAAAAGACATGAGAAGAAAAGAAAAGGAATGGCCTGGTTACTTCGGTTTAAAAATGCAACAAAATTACTTTTTATTGAAACATTGAACCATACCTTTAAAACGTTACTTTCCTGGTCTTCAGAGTTGCAAACACGTCAATCACGTCATCAAACACGTCAATCACGTCATCAAACACGTCAATCACGTCATCAAACATGTCAATCACTTCATCAAACGTGTCAATCACGTCATCAAACACGTCAATGTGACTCCATATTTTGTTTGCAATGTACTCTACTGGCAACCTACTATGCTGGCAACCTGCTATGCTGGCAACCTGATCTGGTGGAACTCTGCTATGGTGACACCTTATTCTGGTGGCACCCTCCTCGGGTGGCACCCTGTTCTTTATGTAACCAACTCGAGCGACCTCTGTTTATTGGGTGTCACCCCCCCCCCCCAAATTGAGGGTGTCACCCGGTGCGGTCCGCACCCGAGCAACGCCTTGTTACGCCACTGTTATCATTTTGTCCACACTATCAAACAGAAACACACGGTAAGTTAGATAGCTGTACTAAACCGCAAAATGTATCGCTTGAGGGAATTAAGGAGTGAGGGGGGGGGGGGGGGAGACATAATATATGGACAGAGCAACTGAGAAGTGTCCACATGATTCACAGGTATTAAATATGGGTAACGTAAATGGAACATTCTTTTAGAAGGTAAGGTTAACTTTATTGAACAAATGTGAGTTTGCAGTTGTTGAATTTGATTATTCAGTTACTACTCATAATTACAACTCACTTATATGATTGTACTGTTAAAGTAGTGGCAGATGTTAAAATACCACCACTTTTCGCCCCCCCCCCCCCTTTTTATTAAAGGTAACTGTAACTGTTAAACTTCGATAACATTAGTCTGAGTAAAATCAATGATAACATTAGTCTGAGTAAAATCAATGATAACATTAGTCTGAGTAAAATCAATGATAACATTAGTCTGAGTAAAATCAATGATAACATTAGTCTGAGTAAAATCAATGATAACATTAGTCTGAGTAAAATCAATGATAACATTAGTCTGAGTAAAATCAATGATAACATTAGTCTGAGTAAAATCAATGATAACATTAGTCTGAGTAAAATCAATGATAACATTAGTCTGAGTAAAATCAATGATAACATTAGTCTGAGTAAAATCAATGATAACATTAGTCTGAGTAAAATCAATGATAACATTAGTCTGAGTAAAATCAATGATAACATTAGTCTGAGTAAAATCAATGATAACATTAGTCTGAGTAAAATCAATGATAACATTAGTCTGAGTAAAATCAATGATAACATTAGTCTGAGTAAAATCAATGATAACATTAGTCTGAGTAAAATCAATGATAACATTAGTCTGAGTAAAATCAATGATAACATTAGTCTGAGTAAAATCAATGATAACATTAGTCTGAGTAAAATCAATGATAACATTAGTCTGAGTAAAATCAATGATAACATTAGTCTGAGTAAAATCAATGATAACATTAGTCTGAGTAAAATCAATGATAACATTAGTCTGAGTAAAATCAATGATAACATTAGTCTGAGTAAAATCAATGATAACATTAGTCTGAGTAAAATCAATGATAACATTAGTCTGAGTAAAATCAATGATAACATTAGTCTGAGTAAAATCAATGATAACATTAGTCTGAGTAAAATCAATGATAACATTAGTCTGAGTAAAATCAATGATAACATTAGTCTGAGTAAAATCAATGATAACATTAGTCTGAGTAAAATCAATGATAACATTAGTCTGAGTAAAATCAATGATAACATTAGTCTGAGTAAAATCAATGATAACATTAGTCTGAGTANGAGTAGCCCAGCAAGATTTTTTTTTTTCTTTTTTTTTCTGTTAAACCTACCAATAAACATTAAAGAGACATCTGTATGGTAAACAGGAGACTTAAATTATTTTTTTTCAGAAATTCAACAAAAAAAAAAAAAAAAAACTCTTTAAAATATCCAAGACTGTAATAAAAAAAAACATTTGCTTTTTCTCTAATCTAATGACGAATAAATGTGGCTTTGATTTTTTCACTCGCTTCCACTGTTGCTTAGTATCTTTTGATTAGTCGGTGCAATCCTACTTGTAATGATGCTGCTTGCAACAATCCTGCGTTTAATAATCCTACTTGTAACAATCCTACTTGTAATAATCCTACTTGTAACAATCCTACTTGTAATAATCCTACTTGTAACAATCCTACTTGTAATAATCCTACTTGTAACAATCCTACTTGTAATAATCCTACTTGTAATAATCCTACTTGTAACAATCCTACTTGTAACAATCCTACTTGTAATAATCCTACTTGTAACAATCCTACTTGTAATAATTCTACTTGAAACAATCCTACTTGTAATAATCCTACTTGTAACAATCCTACTTGTAACAATCCTACTTGTAATAATCCTACGTGTAACAATCCTACTTGTAAGAATCCTACTTGTAACAATCCTACTTGTAATAATCCTACTTGTAATAATCCTTCTTGTCGCAATCCTACTTGTAACAATCCTACTTCTAAAAATTCATTTTGTATTATGGTAACTCTTCTTCCAATAAAAACATTTTTAAATGATTGTTCCATTTCCTTTTCCTTTCCAGAACAATTTCCTCTACCTGCCTTGGAATTTGTTTCAGAAAGCCGTTACGATTTCCCACACATCTTAACAGGAGAAGAGGCCCCTTGAAAAGGAAGTTAAGGTCCACACCAATGGACGTGGTGCTGAGCTATGCGGACAGTTACGTCTTGACACCCTACGTTTATCCGGACACCTGGCGAGAAGATGACCCCTGGCGCCAAATCGCTTCACTCGAGGTCATCGTCAGCGTCGGGGCTTACCTCTTGTACTTCACCGTGGCCACCCTCAACTACTGCTGTACTTTCGACAAGAGGCTGCTCAGACATCCTCTGTTTCTAAAGGTGTGAGGGCGAGACATGCACAATGCCTTATGAAAATAATAGGAACTCTGCTATTTGGGTGTTAATCTATCAAATTAAGAAGGAAAAAAAAAGGGGGGGGGGGGAGAACACCCAATGAATTATTTTAAAATACAGACTTTTAAAAAGAAAAAAAACTTAGGATTTCTATAACTTTTCTTTCCCAACTTTCGACAAGAGGCTGCTCAGACATCCTCTGTTTCTAAAGGTGTGAGGGCGACACATGCACAATGCCTTATGAAAATAATAGGAACTCTGCTATTTGGGTGTTAATCTATCAAATTAAGAAGGAAAAAAAAAGGGGGGGGGGGAGAACACCCAATGAATTATTTTAAAATACAGACTTTTAAAGAGAAAGAAAACTTAGGATTTCTATAACTTGTCTTTCCCCTACTTCCATTAAGTTTGTATTCCCATTCTTCACAATGAGTTTGAATAGAGTTCTCATTTCAGAATCAGATACAGAGAGAGATTCTTTGCACAGTCATATCGGTCCCGTTCGTTGGCATCCCCACGGGGGCCATATTCTTCTTGGAGGTCAAAGGTTACAGCAAACTCTATGATAATGTTGGGGATACCAGATTGGGTAATAAATATTTTCTGCCCTTCTGTTCAATGACGCAACTGATTGATTTTTTTTTTTTAAACTGAGAACATGTATCTGAACCACAAGACATGAGCATGTATCTGAAATCTGAACCATGAGACATGAGCATGTATCTGAAATCTGAACCATGAGACATGAGCACGTATCTGAAATCTGAACCATGAGACATGAGCACGTATCTGAAATCTGAACCATGAGACATGAGCACGAATCTGAAGTCTGAACCATGAGACATGAGCACGAATCTGAAGTCTGAACCATGAGACATAATCATAAAATGTATCTAAACATTTAAACATTAATTATTTCATACATTATCCTTTGGAAAACGAATGTCTCGCCAAATGATTTTGTTAAATTGAAATGATTATTTTTCAGGCTATGCTGGTGTGTTGATCAGCATGCTGACCTTCATCGCTTTCACTGACATGGTCATCTACTGGACCCACCGATTGCTTCACCACAAACGTGTTTACAAGAACCTTCATAAAATTCACCACAATTTTAAGGTTGGAATATTCCATCAGAATGTTGATTGTTCTCATTTCATTCATTCCCCCCATCCAAAAAAAAAACAACAACAAAAAAACTCTCAAACATAATTCCAAACCCTCATTCCTATCACTCACTGACTTCACGTTCTGTAATCTTTTTAAAATTATAGGGTTTAATCTACACCCCCCCCCCCTTTTTTTCCCCATCTTCTAAGTGTCTGGAGTGAATTCAGAGCTCCATAAATAAATACCCGAGACGGAATCGCAAAATTATGGTCCAGCTCCTCACACCCTCTTTGTTTATAAATCAAACTTGAAGATGTTTTGTTTGTACGCAATAAAATGTGAACGTTAAAGTTCCCTAAACTTGTGATATGTCAATATGCGCCAAGATCAAATTCCTGTCTTTCTCAGGTGCCCACGCCGTTTGCCAGCCATGCCTTCCACCCCCTGGACGGTTTCATGCAGAGTCTGCCCTACCATATTTATCCATTTTTGTTTCCCCTCCACAAAGTAAGAAATCTTCAACATGAATAAGACATCGGGAAATATTGTTTGCATTTGTGTAGTTTTTTTATGCCACTCAAAAATGTAAACACATATTTGAATGACTCTATTATCCCATATCAAAATAAAGTTTTTACAATTATTACATATGCACCAAAAGACAAACACAACTAACATAATGGAACGGATGTCCTTTAAAAAAAATTTTTTTCAAGTAATTAAAAAAAATAAATTAATAAAACGCTATTCAGTTAGTTTTCAAATTGTTAACGCAAGAACTCGGATCAGACCTGTCTCCTCATTTGCTGTAACTTACGGTTGTCCAACCTACTTTCCATAGGTCACCTACCTGGGCCTCTTTGTTTTTGTCAACATCTGGACGGTCTCCATTCACGATGGCAATTACGGGGTACCCGAGAGTCTGAAATCTCTTGTTAATGGCAGCGCACACCACATGGACCACCATCTCTATTACAACTACAACTACGGGCAGTTCTTCACCCTGTGGGATAGAATCGGTGGCTCCTACAGATACCCAAGTTCATTCGAGGGTTGTGGACCAATTGATCAGATGTTGGCCAAAGAGACAGAGAGTGCTCTAAAGAATGGCAATACACACGTTGCCAAGAATGGAGACATGAAGAAGAAGGAGTAACGTGACATGTTCTGTTTTTACACTCAAATTCATGACAATAAAGTTTTTGTGGCTATTTTGATATCAAAAAGTTGAGTGGTAAAGTAGCACCTTTAAATTTTCTAGTAAGGAATGAATCAAGTTAAGTTTTTTCATTACTCACTTTACTTAGATGAATGGGGCTATAAATGACTTCTTTTTTTTGTTAGATAAAATCTGTGCAGATCTCTTTATTTAGAATGGCTTTACATGTACGATAAATAAATTAAGATACCATCCTACTGTTATTTGAATTTTCAGGTTATTTGAGATTATTTGCATATTTTTCAAGCCATTAAAAGTTGAAATCGATTGAAAATGTAATCAGAAATCAATAAGAGATAGAGAGAGAGAGAGGGAGGGGGAGAGAGAGAGAGAGAGAGAAAACATACTTCGAAGAATGGCAATACAAACTGGGTCAAGAATGGAGACATGAAGACAAAGGAGTGACATAGACATGAAGACAAAGGAGTGACATAGACATGAAGACAAAGGAGTGACATAGACATGAAGACAAAGGAGTGACATAGACACGAAGACAAAGGAGTGACATAGACATGAAGACAAAGGAGTGACATAGACATGAAGACAAAGGAGTGACATAGACATGAAGACAAAGAAGTGACATAGACATGAAGACAAAGGAGTGACATAGACACGAAGACAAAGGAGTGACATAGACATGAAGACAAAGGAGTGACATAGACATGAAGACAAAGGAGTGACATAGACATGAAGACAAAGGAGTGACATAGACATGAAGACAAAGGAGTGACATAGACATGAAGACAAAGGAGTGACATAGACATGAAGACAAAGGAATTTTTTTTAGAACAGATCCAAGAATCTTAAGAAAAGAGGATTTTTAAATTAAAATAATGACCAATCGACTTTTTTTAAAAAGAAAGAGTTGTGTTGTAGCTGGCGATCGAAGGATTGATGCTCCTAATGGATGCTTCTAATGTATGTAGTTTGGGAGGCTAGATTTTAAGCCCTCTAACACATTTAATAAACTTGCAGGAAATCCTGTCCCATCAAGTGTTCCATGTGCTTCCCGCGATTATTGATTATAAGGAACATTTTTTTTTTTTTAAATTTTAAAATCCTGCCTCAGTACTTAACATGCTGTACATTGAGATATGTCAACAGTGATTATTTCAGACATTTTCCCCCCGGGGGGGGGGGGGGGGGCATTTCAGATTTTTCGGGGGGGGGGGGGGGGGTGGCCAGCAGTGCCGGTTGGTTTATTGTTGGAAATTTTTTACCTCAGTACTTAACATGCTGTACATTGAGATATGTCAACAGTGATTATTTCAGACATTTTCCCCCCGGGGGGGGGGTGGGGGGCATTTCAGATTTTTCGGGGGGGGGGGGGGGAGTGGCCAGCAGTGCCGGTTGATTTATTGTTGGACATATTTTTGCTCCGGGGGGGCACTTGGCTTTCCCCTGGGGGGGCAGTGCCCCGGAGATTTCGCTTGAAGAAACCCTGTATGTGAAGCCCTGGGTGAAACTAATACATGACGTACGGACCAGTCTGACCTGCGCCCATACATTCACTCAAGTGATGTTCTTTTGATATGAGAATTTTTAGGGTTCTATTCCTTCTTATTTAAAAAAAAAAATATTTTTAATTTGTGTGTTTTTTCTTCATTTCTCCTTTTTTTAATGTTTGTGTGTGTGTGTGTGTTTGTGTGTGTGTGTAAGTGTGTGCGTGTGTGTGGTTTTTGTTGCTGTAAAGGTTAAAGAGGAGGAGGGGGGTATGTGGAAATTGTGTTTGTTAAAATAGTTTTGAAGAGTAAAGGACACTAGCAAATATATGTATATATTATTATTATATTAGTCAAACCCAACGCCTTGCTGTTACAACTTGACAAAAGCCTTTTTCTATCTGCAGCGCTGACATGATAAAAATATGGCACTTTATCAGAATTTAGTTGAAATAGAATATTCCAGCAGCGCTGACATGATAAAAATATGGCACTTTATCAGAATTTAGTTGAAATAGAATATTCCAGCAGCGCTGACATGATAAAAATATGGCACTTTATCAGAATTTAGTTGAAATAGAATATTCCATTTTACTCCCTCCTTGGAAGATTAGGGACATCATTTAAAAAAAAATAATTAATCTGATCACATAATCGTATAATCATGTTATTGAAGGAGAGAGAGGGCAAAAATTGAACCTTGATATCATAAAATAACAAATTCTCATACATTCAAAGTCGATAAGAAATAGTTATGAGATGAACGCTGCGCATTAAAAATGATAATGTATAATAATAGATAGGGATGGCTATTCATTCGTAACATTAGTATGGGTGACAAGTCGTGCATAACACTGACATGAATGGCTATTCGTGCCTAGCATGGATGTGGATGACTGTCCTCATTAAGTTGATGGCATGCCAATAAACCTGGCTGGGTGTTGTGCTTGAATTTAATCGGTGTTAACGCAACACTTAAAGCAGGGGTTCTCAAACTTTTTTCTGACCACCGTCTCGTCGGGGCCATACACTCATCCTGACCGCCCGCCACCCCCAACCTTTTGTATTACCCAATTTTAAGCATTCTCACAATAATAGTGTGCACAATGTTTCTTTGAAAATATTTACCCAATGAAATGTTAAGGTGCAACATATATTTTACGACATTTCATCAAATTTTTAACCAAAAATTATTTTTCTAAACTTCTATATATTCCGTAATAAACTTCCATCAAGGGATGCCACAGCTCATGTTAGAAATATAACGTCTAAAGCAGTGGTTCTTAACCTTTTTGGAGGTACCGAACCCCACCAGTTTCATATGCGCATTCACCGAACCCTTCTTAATAGGAGAAATAAAATATGATTTTTTTTTTTTGGACCTCCGCCGAACCCCTGAGACTGACTCACCAAACCCCTGGGGTTCGATCGAGCCCAGGTTAAGAACCACTGATCTAAAGCCTGCATGTTTGAATATGGGATGAAATTTTTTATAAATATAATTTTTTACTTCTATCTATTCCGTAATAAACTAATTCCATCAAGGGATGGCACAGCTCAAGCTAGAAATATAACGTCTAAAGCCTGCATGATGGAGTATGGGAAGACATCTTTAAAAAAAAGAATGTTGAGTGATTTTGTAATATTCGTACATGGAATGGGTGCCGGGTGGCCGGGTGGCCGAGCGGTCCAATCTGAGGTAATCCCAAGTTTGTGGACTGGAGTTCAATCACCCGAAAACACCTAGACGAGCAATAAACATGGATGGTACTCGTTGACCTTGGATGGCACCCGTTGACCTTGGATGGCACCCGTTGACGTTGGATGGCACCCGTTGACCCCGGATGGCACCCGTTGACCCCGGATGGCACCCGTTGACCCCGGATGGCACCCGTTGACCCCGGATGGCAGCTCACCTGAGAGATGGAAAAGCTCCGGAATCAAACCCGGAGATTGACACAATAAAAATTCCCGACAACTCGTTGTGACGTGCAACGCTTCAAAGACCACAGTGAAATACACGAGACACGACCAGCTGGTCACTGGTCACCGACTTCTGCTTCCTGGTCTCTTTCCCAGTCGTCTTGGCTAAGTCTTGTCATTGGATCAAATAGGCAAGGACGAGAGAGTGAGGCTGTCGAGTTCGGCAACTCTCCCTCGTATTAAAAAATAGATAAATAAACACAGCTTAAGTCAAGGCAACTGGTACAGTCGAACATTTGCCATTGGTCAAGTACAGTCGAACATTGCCCTTGGTCAAGTACAGTCGAACATTTGCCCTTGGTCAAGTACAGTCGAACATTTGCCCTTGGTCAAGTACAGTCGAACATTTGCCCTTGGTCAAGTACAGTCGAACATTGCCCTTGGTCAAGTACAGTCGAACATTGCCCTTGGTCAAGTACAGTCGAAGATTGCCCTTGGTCAAGTACAGTCGAACATTTGCCCTTGGTCAAGTACAGTCGAACATTGCCCTTGGTCATCTTTGCTTGCGATGGACGAAAAAAGAACACATGGAATAGATCTTATTTAAAACTAAAATGCTTTTTTTTTGTTAAAGAATTTCTAACTTATTATTGGGGATGAAATGAAAGGCGCGGTTGGATTTGAAAATGTATGGAACTTATAATGGAACAATAATAAATTTATAAGCAGCAAATGATTCCGTTCTTAAATGTTTACCATTAAAAAGTTTAGTGTGTAATGATTTTTAAATAAACAGCTGAAAATATACTGAAATGCCTAAAAAAGGTTAAATTAAGTTATTAATATTTTTTTTGTGGGAAGGGAGATCATTTGTTATATGCAAGGAGATTGTGGGGGGGGGGGGGGGGGGGGGGGTTGGGGGGTTATCTGAGTCTGGTGATGTTACCATGGAGATGTTTTGCATATATTTAATATGGTTAGCTACTAACCTGCTATTACAGCCCTCATCAATGAAGTTGATATATCTTTTTTTTTATATAGGGTGGTGGGGTTATCTGAGTTTTGTGTTGTTACCATGGAGATGTTTTGAATATATTTAATATGGTTAGCTACTAACCTGCTATTACAGCCCTCATCAATGAAGTTGATATATCTTTTTTTTTATATTTCAAATAGCAATGCTTTGACTTGGTTCAAAAGAGTGAAAGTTTATTTTGAGTTTAGCCTCTAACACAAATGGTTTCTAAACTCCAATTTTTTAAATATTTTTTTAAATGACAACATTGAGTGAGGATGGACTTATGCCACTGGTGCTTAACATAACATAGGATTCAGTTCTTGAATCTCAGAAGGTTTCAAACTTTCAACTCCTTCGAATTTGTTTACCAATAGCCATGTCAACAAATACAATTACACACACACAAACAACCAATAGCCATGTCAACAAATACAATTACACACACACAAACAAATTAATAGTTCAAAAATATAAAATATCTGTACAAAATCTGTAAAAAAAAATAATTTTATTAAGACTTTATGTCAATTTATATATTACCCATCACTCTCTCTATCATCCTCTCTCTCTCTCTGTCTGTCTGTCTCTCTCTCTCTCTCTCACTCTCTTCCTCTCCATCTATCTCAACTACATTCAAAACTGCCCATACAATATCCACATAAGAACACATGTTGCAGTTAATACGTACTGTAGCAGGATTACCAATGGTTGTGGCAGAGTTAAGGAAAGCCCAAGATGACCTCTTTTTTAATTTCAAAAGCTCTGATACCTGGCCATTTGGTAAGGACCGCCTGGACATTTGGTAAGGACCACCTGGACATTTGGTAAGGACCACCTGGACATTTGATAAGGGCCACCTGACCATTTATTATCATGGGTTTTCACTGTGCTCCTTAGCCGAGTGAACAAAGTTACGATTGACTTCATCTTTACACTGTAAAATGTTATCATGCCAATTATATTTGTTTAGAATATTAGACTTAATCTAATGATGTGTCCATCGAGTCTTTAATCTTTAATCTAATGATGTGCCCATCGAGTCTTTAATCTTTAATCTAATGATGTGTCCATCGAGTCTTTAATCTTTAATCTAATGATGTGTCCATCGAGTCTTTAATCTTTATTCTAATGCCGTGTCGATCTGACCGTACCTTGACCTCCATATAGTGACAACAAAAGTGCAGGCCACCAAACTACCCAGGACACACAAGGATCCAGCAGTAATGATGAAAATTTTGATGTAGCAGTAAACGAAGAAGCAATCGTGCACTGGAGTGTAGAGATACGTTCTGGAACACAGGTTGAAATTAAAGAAAAAAAAAAAAATTGTTGTTACAATTACAAAAAATAATTGATGGTAAATAAATTTGACCCAGCTGGAGTAGTCCTTTCTTAGGTCCTAGGTTAGGTAATCCGTGTTTCACCTAGGTTAGACCGAGATTGTTTTATACATTTTTAAATTTATGTTGTTCATTTCCCCCACCACTGTAGTAGCCCACATCCATTTTTCAGACACGCCCACTCCAAGTTCACCATTCATTTAACATATTGATGATCCTCAAAGCTAGGGTGAACAAAAATTTAGCTTGGGGGATCCAAACAGACCAACTGTGTAATCATAGGCTAAACTGTGTAATCATAGGCTAAACTGTGTAATCATAGGCTAAACTGTGTAATCATAGGCTAAACTGTGTAATCATAGGCTAAACTGTGTAATCATAGGCTAAACTGTGTAATCATAGGCTAAACTGTGTAATCATAGGCTAAACTGTGTAATCATAGGCTAAACTGTGTAATCATAGGCTAAACTGTGTAATCATAGGCTAAACTGTGTAATCATAGGCTAAACTGTGTAATCATAGGCTAAACTGTGTAATCATAGGCTAAACTGTGTAATCATAGGCTAAACTGTGTAATCATAGGCTAAACTGTGTAATCATAGGCTAACTGCATTATGTAAGCCGAGAGAAAGAGACTTTTTTTTAAGCCTGTATTTAAAAGTCTCGCTTAAAAAAAATATAAATAGATGCAAATTAATTATCATATTTTGCATGATGAATAGGAATAATTCCATGGGGGTGACCCCGTGGGGGTAGGGGGGGCACCATGAATTTCACGCTCCAAGTGACCCCAACCCTAGTGACGCTTTTTATCAAGCTATTCAAGTAATACAAATTAAATGTAATTCTCGGACATATTTGATCGGACATCGTAACCTATTTAACAGACATGTTTCATTCGAGATTTTTTTGTAGTTTTTAATAATTTTTTTTTTCAATTTTCAGTGCAACAGGGGCCATCCCAAATTGATCGATTTTTTTAAAAGGGTTTGGCGGGTAATTTTGAATCATTATTATATTTTAACCCCAAGCAACACTCAATGAAAAGCAGACGAAAGAAAATGGTCAGACCTGTTACTCCACCACACACCCCTTCCCTCTGTGTTCAACGCAGTATGGTAGCGTGAGGAGTAACTAAGATTTAACAGGTAGGGTTTAGAGATTTATTCTAAGTTAAAAACTGGTTTTAAAAAATGTATATACATTAAATTTTCATCCCAGCAGCAGTAAAGTTGTGTACACCCTTGTACAAAACAGCATCGCCAAGAGCAGGAGTACAGTTGTCAGGGGACATTATCAGCCCAGATGTATGCGCCTTGGTTATTTCAAGGGCGGTGCCACACATACATACACACACACACTCACACACACGCAGACGCACACAAAACACAGTGGGTTCATTATCCTTTCGCAAACTCGGGACACCCCAACAGGCAATGCTTACTTGGTTAACTGGTCGAGTGAGTGAAAACATAGGCATCCATTGTCCAGGTGTTCACAGTAGGCGTAGGTGAAAAGCTGTCCAACATGGATGCCACAGAAAACAGCCGCTGTTACACAAAGGAAGATGGAGATGGCAGCTACAACACTGCAGGCTGTCTGGATGACGCAAACAGTATAAGAAAAACAAATGTAAACATAACACGTTTTCTGAAATTCAATTTTTGTTGTTTGTTGTTCGTTTTAAAAGTTAAAAAAATATATTTTCTTTCTACTCGCAATTCTATGGGGTTTATAAGCTGGTAACTTTGCAGCATACTTTGCTGTTGCCACACGTGACCCTCTCGCTCGGTCGATTCAGTCTGTCTCGTGCTGACCTGTAAGATTGCAGCTGAGTTGACGACACAGAGTTACAGCTCCGGTCTTGCTGGGTCTTCGTGGGCAAATAAGATAAGAAAAGTTGATAAAAAATATCAAGAACCCTACCTTTTCACCTACCCTAACCATTGGTCGTAACTGTTTACCCTAACCATTGGTCGTAACTGTTTACCATAACCATTGGTCGTAACTGTTTACCATAACCATTGGTCGTAACTGTTTACCATAACCATTGGTCGTAACTGTTTACCATAACCATTGGTCGTAACTGTTTACCCTAACCATTGGTCGTAACTGTTTACCATAACCATTGGTCGTAACTGTTTACCATAACCATTGGTCGTAACTGTTTACCATAACCATTGGTCGTAACTGTTAACCATAACCATTGGTCGTAACTGTTTACCATAACCATTGGTCGTAACTGTTTACCATAACCATTGGTCGTAACTGTTTACCATAACCATTGGTCGTAACTGTTTACCATAACCATTGGTCGTAACTGTTTACCATANGGGGGGGGGGGGGGGGGGGGGGGGGGGGGGGGGGGGGGGGGGGGGGGAGAGGAGAGATTGGCACTTGTACATTTCGGCATTTAGCCTCTGATCAACGGTCGACATTCAGTCGTTTAGATTCTACTGCTAAGTGATATTCCCGCCTAAAGAGCTAAGTCACTATACCAGGATTTTCTAGGCGTACGTTGTAGGAAAAAAAATAATACTCTTCTTTCGTCGATAATTAACAGAGTACAATTGTCACCCTAAAAATTAGTCTTCATAAAAAAGTCTCTTAAAAAGGAATATATATATATACATTCTTCTTCTATATCTTAAGGGCCCACGATCAATTTATTGATCATTTTGGCTCCTATATATATGTTGTACCTTGATGACCAACAAAGTCATAGAGATTTCCTCTGTCTTCTTGTCTTTAATACAGAAGAACACGCCACTGAGGCCAGCGAACAGGAGCTGCAAGGAGAAAAGAATACTTTTAAAAAAATAATAAGATATACATATATCAGTTCTATCACGTTGAAGACATCGGCTTATCTAACGTAGGAAACGATGTAATAAACGGGCGTAAACTTTACCGAGTGTCTAAACTAAAAATAGTACAGGTAGCCCAGGTGCTTTTGGCCCTAAAGATTAGGGTGCTATCTTTTTGGCTAGTGTTATTGCTCATTGGAACTCATCTTAAATTAATTAACAACGGCTTCAAAGGGATTTTTTTTTTCCGAATCGTTTTCCCGTCTATGCACTCGGCACGGCACCAGGTGCATCTCAGTCTATGTCATCTATGCACTCGGCACGGCACCAGGTGCATCTCAATCTATGTCATCTATGCACTCGGCACGGCACCAGGTGCATCTCAGTCTATGTCATCTAAGCACTCGGCACAATAGGCGCTAACAGACCAAGGATCCATCAGAAATAGATGCTAACAGACCAAGGATCCATCAGAAATAGGCGCTAACAGACCAAGGATCCATCAGAAATAGGCGCTAACAGACCAAGGATCCATCAGAAATAGGCGCTAACAGACCAAGGATCCATCAGAAATAGATGCTAACAGACCAAGGATCCATCAGAAATAGATGCTAACAGACCAAGGATCCATCAGAAATAGGCGCTAGCAGACCATGGTTCCATGAGAATTGGGTGTCACCAGACGAAGGAGTCCATGAGAATTGGGTGTCACCAGACGAAGGAGTCCATGAGAATTGGGTGTCACCAGACGAAGGAGTCCATGAAAGCGTTGCAATATCAATGTCTCTGCAGTTCTAAGCAACTCAGTGAATTTTATATGACTTGGAAGAAGGCCATCGGGGTGAGTGGAAGGAAGGGGTGGGGGGGGGTGACATCATGATTTTACAACACGCCCCGAGGGACCCCAACCCTAGTGACGCCACTGATCGATCAATCCAAGTAATTAAAATATCTAATGCAGCTCTGATGGAACATTTGACCGGACAACGTCATAATGTTCCAAGTGTTCCCAGTGTTCCAGGCGTGTGCGTAAAGGGGGGGAGGAGAGGAGGAGTTGTCTGAAGGGAGACAACTCTATAAAACGTTTTTTTTTTTTGTAATTGTTTATGGGTTGCTGGTCTCCCCTTATTTGACGAGCGTCGTTTTAAAAAAATGATTTAGGACGCTCGTGATATAAGAACAACTCCAAGATGCTTCCATCAGTTAGCGTCCACTCACTTCACCCGCTCTTTGAAGTGGTCGGCCACTGACCTCACCCGGCTCTTTGAAGTGGTCGGGCACTGACCTCACCCGGCTCTTTGAAGGCGTAGACACAGTCTTATATTTTTTCTTCACATGACTCATCTTAAATAACATGGGAGCTAACCATATATTTTCTTTACACATTTAATCCATAAAAATGTCTCTTCACTCAAAAAAAAAGTTTGTTAACCCCTGACCTAAATGTTTTAGCAATGCTCATCGCCCTGTGTCTCTGCAACGGTTCTGCAACCTCGAGTTTTTCGAGATACACGCATCCGATTAAAGCCATAAACTGAAGAAAACATTTTTAAAAAAAAGATAAGATTTTTCGAATTTTTACACACAAAAAAACACCCAAGACCGCTATCAATGTATCAGTATCTGTATGTAAATGATACTAGTGATACCTTCTTATGATACTAGTGATACTTTCTTCCTATCTAGTTATCTAAGATAAAACGTTCCGGGGCTGAGGTTTGAGACCAGACACTTTCAGGCGAGTGAAACAGAGAGAGGAGAGGGGGTGGGAGTGGAGGGGCATCAGCTCGTTCTAATTTAAAAAAAATATATATCTTAAGAGAGCGGATGTTGAGATATTTAATTGGCTTCATTGATGTTGTACAAATATTTATTCAAGAGGATGGTACCCTTGAGCTATTGAGTGGAGAAGACAATAATAAAAAAAAAATATTCACCGTACTCTTGTGTCGGTTCAAATTCAAGCAAGGTAAACATGGCGCGACCAGTTTTCAAGTGCACCAATCAGAGTCCTTTATTTTTTTACTTTCACTGAGGCGTAGAAGCTCTCTCTACTGTCTCCCCCCCCCCCACCCCCCCCCAACCCCCCCAGGTTCAAATTCAAGCAAGGTAAACTTGGCGCGACCAGTTTTCAAGTGCACCAATCAGAGTCCTTTATTTTTTTACTTTCACTGAGGCGTAGAAGCTCTCTCTACTGTCTCCCCCCCCCCCTTTTATTCAACCCATTCCCCCCGCCGAACCAACCCACCAAGCCAACCACCTCAGCCATAAACAAACATTTTACAAAATTTAATGTTTAAGAAATCACGTCGTGTCACTTCAATAGGAGTCCACAGGCCAACGGTATAATTCTCTAACAAGCCCTGGTTATGCAACATGGGGGTCACGGGAGAAGTGGGTCTTTGCATCATGGGGGTCACGGGAGAAGTGGGTCTTTGCAACACGGGGGTCACGGGAGAAGTGGGTCTTTGCAACATGGGGGTCACGGGAGAAGTTGGTCTTTGCAACATGGGGGTCACGGGAGAAGTGGGTCTTTGCAACATGGGGGTCACGGGAGAAGTGGGTCTTTGTAACATGGGGGTCACGGGAGATGTGGGTCTTTTAAATACGAATACAAAAAGTTGCTGAACAGCATCGGCGGAAAGGAAAAAAATAGCGTTTTTTAGCAGTCTCACTCCGTTAACCAAAGAATTGTTCCGTGGAGTCGAATACTCCTTTTGGTGTCTGCGAATACGATCAATGCTGTCGTTGGGTAGATTCATTGGAGTCGCTGGAGCTTATAACTGGTAGATTCAGTGGAGTAGCTGGAGCTTATAACGGGTAGATTCAGTGGAGTATCTGGAAGTTATAACGGGTAGATTCAGTGGAGTATCTGGAGCTTATAACTGGTAGATTCATTGGAGTAGCTGGAGCTTATAACTGGTAGATTCAGTGGAGTATCTGGAGCTTATAACTGGTAGATTCAGTGGCCGTAACAGCACGTGTCGCGTCTGGTGAGCACAAAATTAAGAGTTTAATAAGCATTCACCCCATTGTCAGTGCAGACCAGATAAGAATGAGGCAGACAAATTTAAACAGCAGATATAAATATGAACGATAACGGGGGTTGAGGACAGCGGCTCCCAAATCTTCAGTTGATGCCCCTCAAAATAATAGGTGGTGGCGATTTCCATATCACCCAGGGTAAACAAACTTTTATTTTCGGGGAGGGGAGGAACCCCGGGAACATGAATTAATCGTCGGCGCCAAGGTGCACAAGTGCACCACACTAGTACAACTTGTAGTGCACTAGTGCACCATACTGGCACAACACTGTAGTGCACTGCCTCACAATATTAGAGAAAATAATTTACTTTTTTTTAAATTATTTGTTTTCTCCATTAAACCTCTAGGTGCCAATCTAATTTATTTATAAGTTATGGAGCTAAATTCGGCCCAGAATCTTCGTCCTTCTGTCGTGAGAATCATAATGGAGTTTCTTGTTTTCAAATCAAGTTTTGCGAAGACGTCAAATCATTTCAAGAAACGCCCTGATAATGAGTCTGCTCGTGTAGCTTTTCTTCCCCACCCCCTAATTATTCCAGTGGTGATGATAGCAATTTAAATGTATACAAAAATACAACAAAACAAAACAACACCAAAAACTCACCCCAACAACAGAGCCATACTTTCCGTTTAGAAAAAGACTTAACACCCGGACAAGGTATTTACAAAAAAAAAGATAAGTCTGGTTATCTCAAGTCATGTTGTTTTTCGAATAACTTGTCTCATATGATTATTTTATGTCTTCCTCTGTTTTTAATCGTTTTTTTTAAATTTTTTATTTTATTTTGTTTTAGAGCAAAAATGGGGAGGAGAAATAATTGAGGAGAAATAATTGAGGAGAAATAATTGAGGAGAAATAATTGAGGAGAAATAATCGTATGGTGTTCTTCTACGTCGTTTGTGTTAAGTTTGAAGTGGAAGGATTTGAAGAGAAAAAAAAGGGGGTGGGTGGGTGGGATGCCATGAAGAGACAGAGCATGGATATCATTTGAAGTTTGGATTTTTGTGGAGAATTAGAAAGTGGGGGTTGTAGTGATGAGATGTGGGGGTTGTAGTGATGAGATGTGGGGGTTGTAGTGATGAGATGTGGGGGTGGTAGTGATGAGATGTGGGGGTTAGGTTGTAGTGATGAGATGTGGGGGTTGTAGTGATGAGATGTGGGGGTTGTAGTGATGAGATGTGGGGGTTGTGCTTTGACGATAAGGGTTTTGTGGTAATGAGAGGAGGGGGGGGGTTGATTTGATGGGAAGTATGTTTGTGGTGATCGGAAGGGGGGTTTTGGGTGGTAAAGGGGAAAAAGGGTAGTGGTGATGAAAGTGTGGGTTGGTGGTGACGAGAAGGGGTTGCGGTGATGAAAATACGGTCTGTGGTAATAGGAATGTGGTTTGTGGTGATGAGAAGGGGGGATACGATGCAGGTATTGGTACTCATACATGGAGTCATACATCTCCCAGTTACCGGGAGACATATGCACCACACGTGAGTCTGTGCAGGTAGAGCCATCCCAGGACGGAGAACAGACGAAGGGGATGGGGGTGGTCGTACAGGTATTTGAGATGACGGGTGTGATGGGGGCGAGAGATAACATTCGGTGGCGCCAGAGGGTGATTATAAAATATCATAAATTAGGAGCCCCAAAAAATTTGTGAGTGAAGTGGGGTGGGGGTGGAACAGTCTGTGAAAGAGGTGCTTGTTGGGTAGGGAAAGAGGTACTTATTGAATAGGGAAGGAGGGAACAAAATCAAGTTCCTTCTCGTACTTGACAATTTAATTGATATATTGAAATAAAGTTCACGTATGCCACTTCCTCGCGAAGAACTTATTCTACCGCTGTGGTTCTCAGCCTTCCTAATGCCGCGACCCTTTAAGATAGTTCCAGATTTTGTGATGATCCCCCAACCATAAAAGTATTTTCGTTGCTACTTGATAAATATTTGTTTTCCTATGGTCTCAGGCGACCCTTGTGTAAGGGTCGTTGGACCCTCAAAGGGGTTGCTACTCACAGGTTGAGAGCCGCGGCTCAGGAGGAATCGAGTTTTATTAGAAATAAACAAAGGATAATAAATGAAGGACTGCGTTCTTGTTACGATGATTAATAGTAATAGTCTATCTACATCAGGCCTGCACAACTCAAAATGTAAGCCGGGCCGTAATACTTTAAGACAGACGAGCGCGGGTCGAAAGAAAATAGGACATGGGGGGGGGGGGGGGGGGGGGGAAACGCCATAAAGAAAATGATAATAATAAATAATAGTTCGTTACTTCGTGGGCCGCAAAGCTGGTGCCCTAATGGCCGTATGTTGTGCCGGCCTGATCTACATAGATGGATTTCGTTAAAATGAAAGAGTTCCTTTGATCAGACTTTAGATGGGGGACACAAAATTATCGAGATTTGAGTCAATACCAAAAACATGCGAAGCAGGTGTGGTGGCTGCGGTGGGTGATGCTGAGCCACGTGCTGATCACTTACATGACTAATGTAGCCACACCTGTTCTGGGGCAATTTTTTTAGACTGACGAGCACTAAACGGCGAGCCCCAAGTACAAGAGTGCATAAATGTTTGTAGACAACAAGAGGCGCTGATGAATCAGTAAGTACGTAATGACACAGGGGGGCCATCTGTCTGCACTTGGATAAGGCCATCACACAAGGTTCCTCTGGCAGCGCGTATTTTGACGTTTTGAATAATTTATTTTAAATGTTAAAACTACTTTCTTAGCTATCCCACATCCGGAAGGATAGTCCCATATCTAGGAAATATTATCCCACATCTGGAAGGATTATCCCACATCTGAAAAGATTATGCCCCATCTGGAGGGATTAGGCCACATGTGGAAGGATTACGCCACATCTGGAAGGATTACGCCACATCTGAATGGATTACGCCACACCTGGAAGGATTATCCCACATCTGGAAGGAGTATCCCAAATCTGGATGGTTTATGCCACCGGTGTGTATTTTGGCAACATCTTTTTTCATATTCATAACAGACGCATTCTCTACGTTAATTATTGCGCCTATTTCATTCTCAATATTAACTTAAACCATCTCTCTCTTTTTTGTTACAGCACCCAGCGCTCTATATAAACATCAGCCACACAGCACCCACTGCTATATATATAGATATAGATATTCTAGATATTCATATCTACAAAAATTCACACAACGCATTAAGACATAAAACACATTTTTTTTTCATATCACTCATATGTTCATATCCCTCTTATCCCAAAAGCACTTGTATGCATGGATGTGGTGGTTAGTGCCACGGGCGTGGGGCCAAGATTTTAGCGTCCGCCCCCTCACCACTTTTTTCTGCCCCCTTATTGTCAAGACATATTGTGCCAACCTGGGTATAGCCAACATTCCCCGCCACTTTTTCTACGCTACTGTTCACATAAATCATATGCTCACATACCCCATGTATTCACATCACCCATATATTTACATCACCCATATATTCACATAACTTATATGTTAACATAACACATATGTTCACTTAACTCATATGTTCACATAACTCATATGTTCACATACCCGACATGTTCCCATAACTCATATTTTTACATACCCGTATGTTCCCATCACTCATATGTGCACATCAATCATATGTTCACATAACCCATACGCTCACATACCCTCATATGTTAAGATATCCCATATGTTTACATATCCCATAAGTTAAAATATCCCATATGTTCACATAACTCATATGTTCAAATAACTTATATGTTCACACAGCCCATATGTTCACATAATCCATATGTTCCCTTAACTCATATGTTTACATAACACATATGTTCACATAACCCATATATTCACGTCACCCATATATTCGCATAACCTATATGTTGACATCCCCATATGTTCACATCAATCATATTTTCACATAACCCAAATGTTCACATAACCCAATGTTCACATCACCCATATGTTCACATAGCCAATTTGTTCACATCAATCATATTTTCACATAACCCATATGTTCACAGCCCCCACGTATTTCTAGCCCCCATATTATGTTCACAGCACCCAGGTCGTTATAGCACCCACATGTTCACAGCCCCCAGGTCGTTATAGCACCCACATGTTCACGGCACCCAGGTCGTTATAGCACCCCCATATTAAGGGCGCCCATACACCCCCATGCATTGTTACACAAACCAACAGGCAGATCTGGGTTAAGTGTAGCAAGGTTTACAGTTTGTATCTTACTGGAACTCCGGCCCAGAAAGGTTTCTCCCTCAGCCTGATGGCGGGAACGTAGAGGTGCACGTACGTGGACACACCTGTGATGGCACAGCCGAGGAAGATCTGATGGAGAGAAGTGGGTGAGATTGTGTCATCGCAAGGTCTTAATATTATTATTATTATTAGTGGTGGTTTTATAAAGCGCGATGACCCCAGCCTAGGGCTGGGCTCACCATGCTGTACATACACTTTAACAAGGGCTGGGCTCACCATGCTGTACATACACTTTAACAAGGGCTGGGCTCACCATGCTTTACATACACTTTAACAAGCATAATCAGGAACTTAAAAATTAACATATATTAATTAAATAAAACAAAACAAATGTATATTCACTCCGCACATTCAAGAACTAGTTACATGTCAACATCGTTTAGCGATCAGAGAAAAAGGGGGGGGGGGGAATCAGTCAGGAAAGTAGAGTTTAAAGAGATGTGTTTTGAGTGCAGTTTTGAAGGCTGTGATGGTCGGTACATTGCGAATGTGTAGTGGAAGAGAATTCCATTGTTTGTGGGCACAGAAAGAGAACGATCGTTCACCGTATGTTTTTGTGCGAGTCTTGGGGACAGAAAGAACACGCGCGTCTGCGGAGGAGCGAAGCTGTCGAAGGGGTGAATAGACAGAGAGAAGTTAAGTTAGATAGGTAGGGGAGGAATTCGAGAAAAAGTTGTGGCAAGGAACAGAGAGTTTGTAGTCAGTCCGTGCTTGTATAGGGAGCCAATGAAGTGAATGAAGTAGTGGTGTGAAGTGATCACACCACTACCTTTAGAATTTGACCCGCGGCTGAGTTTTTAACCTTTTGCAATTTTTCTAAGCCTGCAATAGTGTTATGTTCAAATGTGTAGCTTGTTTTGAGATATTGTTGTGTGATACTTGCTTCAGAGCCGCGAGATGGGCCTTGCAACCCCAGCGGCTGCATGGGGCCTCAGATATTTTAGAGGATTAAAGTTGTGATGGGGGGGGTGGAACGGTTCGTGCGGGGAGTAAAACACCGAAAAGTTTTAGGAGTGGGGGGAGGGGGGCGCTCCAAAGTCATATGACGACACTGACTTGTAATAAACCATTAATTAAGTAAATATGGCCCCTTGAATTGATACTTTTCTTTAAGGGAGGCACAATAAATCAATAAATTAGTTGGTGGTTGGGGGGAGGGGGGAGGCGCTTCTAGGAGAATGCACATGAACAACAACGGTTCATTCCCAGCAATGATAAATTAACATTTGACACGGGAAATGTTCCACCCAAGCAATGGCAGCAGCCATACATGAACCTCCCAGCTACAAAAGTTTACGACTTGACAAGACAGGCCTTCAAGTAACGCACTAAGTTACAATTAGTGGTAACTTCTGGAAAGGATATTTTGCGCGTCAGTTGAACATGACGCTACAGCCATACATGCATACACACCTAGAGAACTATTATTTGTGATAAAAATAGTTTAATAATATGTGTGTTAATAAATATCGCCTAGATATATCTTCAAATAGAACTCTATTCTAATAATCGATTCTTCTTCTTTTATATACCACCATCACTTAAATATTATGTTTCGTATCCGGAAAATCGCTTGAAAGAAATTTCGTCGACGGAAAATTGATCGACGGGAGCTTGGTCGAACGGAAATTTGATCGGATTTTTTTTTACAGTTCACACGATCGAATTTTCGATAAATTTCTTTTTGAACACACTATTTTGTTTTACTCTATTTATATAGTAACGAAGTCGCTATTCGCACCCGGGTACCAGAAGTGAGCTCAAAGGTAGATGTTCAAAGTTAGATATTCAACGTTAGATATTCAAAGTTAGATATTCAAAGTTAGATTTTCAAAGTTAGATATTCAAAGTTAGATATTCAAAGTTAGATATTCAAAGTTAGATATTCAAAGTTAGATATTCAAAGTTTGATATTCAAAGTTAGATATTCAAAGTTAGATATTCAAAGTTAGATATTCAAAGTTAGATATTCAAAGTTAGATATTCAAAGTTAGATATTCAAAGTTAGATATTCAAAGTTAGATATTCAAAGTTAGATATTCAAAGTTAGATATTCAAAGTTAGATATTCAAAGTTAGATATTCAAAGTTAGATATTCAAAGTTAGATATTCAAAGTTAGATATTCAAAGTTAGAAGTCCCGATCATAAAATCTGCCCTCAGAGCTCATCGGATAATAACAGGTTGCAGTTTGCTCAATGCCTTCACATCGATGCAGTTATCTAAGACAAGCTTTGCGCCTTCACTTCGATGCAGTTATCTAAGACAAGCTTTGCGCCTTCACATCGATGCAGTTATCTAAGACAAGCTTTGATTCCGCCTTGCAAGCTAAGATACAATGCGGCTTGTGTGTATCAAATATACAGAAAAAATAATAATTCACAAGCCATTCTCAATCAACACTGTTCTGAGGAATGGGTGTTCTACCTCTTTCACAGTGCCCTACCCTTGTGTTGTGCCGTGGGTAATAAGGGGAGAGACTGCAATCAGGTTAGCACAATATAAAATGAGTAAGAAATAGCACTTAGGTGCCCACGGATACTATACTTCTAAGCTAAGTGATATTTCTTATTTTTATTTTTATACCGTTTTTTTTCCTGTTTTGTTCGCTGACGAAGGCTTTCTGCCGACACGTTCGTTGTTTTGTTGCGTTCCTTTTTTTTTCAGGTTTAACCCTACTCTGTTTTACTCATTTTATATTGTACCATGCATACTCATCAATGTTAACAGGCATGCATTCTTCTGGCATTACAAAAATCGATACCGAGTCCTCGGGCGCACACAGAAAAAGTCGCGGGTCGCAGTTGGCTGACCCCCCCCCCCTGGTCCAAGTAGTACCTGTAAATTATATACCTGACCTCAAGCCTCCCATTGACCTCATGTGATAGAGCTGATCATTTTTAATTTACATAGTATACACACCTGCAAGATGACCAGCATGACTCGAACCCCACAGCAAGACGGCATGGTGAGGCGCTCAATCCACTCGACCACCCGACCAAACTTGTGACGACCTCTGGACCGTGGCGTGTGAGTCGATGACAGCGTCGGAGGGAAGATGTTCTGCGGCACTGTGGTGTTCAGGTGAATCTGCGCAGTGAACAGACGGGAAGACAACAACACGAGTTTCAAACAATATCCCCAAGCAATGCACAGACATCAAGGTGCAACAATTGGCATTAACGGTGAAGAAGAAGGGGATGGGGTGGGGGGGGTGTTATGGAGACAGCCAAACAGGATCAATTGTGCATGGAATGCAAAAAGCTGCATGTGGTACCACTTAGGACCAGTGTTGTATCTTGGGGAGCATCCCTGGCGCCTACGGAAACACTGGCTAATGGAGGGCGTGTTGTTTTTCTGCAACCCCCCTCCTCCTCTTCTTTCTACCAAGGAGGAATCGTGGTGACGTACAGTTGGCGATCTATCACACAGTTGGCGGTCTGTCACACAGTTGGCGGTCTGTCACACAGTTGGCGGTCTGTCACACAGTTGGCGGTCTGTCCCACAGTTGGCGATCTGTCACACAGTTGATGATCTGTCACACAGTTGGCGATCTGTCACAAAGTTGGCGGTCTGTCACACAGTTGGCGGTCTGTGACACAGTTGGCAATCTGTCACATAGTTGGCCATCTATCGCTTATATAGTTGGTATTCCTTACATTTTCCCTTTTTCTTTCAAGTTTCTATCCACATTGATTACCGGAAATTTGATCTAAAGAAATTTCGTTGATGGTAAATTGATCGACAGAAATTAGATCGAATGGAAATTTGGTAGAATTTTTTTCTTCAGTTTTTACGTTAACATTTTCGTCAAATTTCTTGTTGACCGCACTACACCATATAGTAAAACAAATCAGTGCGTTCAATAAAAAATTTGAAGCAAAATTTTAACGTAAAAACTGAAGAAAAAAAAAGATTCGTTCGATTGTTCCGTTCGATCAATTTACCGTCGACGAAATTTCTTTCGATCAAATTTCTGAATACGATCCACAATTATACCCCAAGCCGGTTTGAAAGGCGTGAAGGGTGTTGTTGGAGACCTTGGCACCCCAGGATTTTGGAGGGTGTTGTTGGAGACCTTGGCACCCCAGGATTTTGGAGGGTGTTGTTGGAGACCTTGACACCCCAGGATTTTGAAGGGTGTTGTTGGAGACCTTGGCACCCCAGGATTTTGAAGGGTGTTGTTGGAGACCTTGGCACCCCAGGATTTTGAATGGTGTTGTTGGAGACCTTGGCACCCCAGGATTTTGAATGGTGTTGTTGGAGACCTTGGCACCCCAGGATTTTGGAGGGTAATCTAGGGAGCGTCGTGCCCCTTCGGTTAAAATGTAACTAACTTTCTTTTTTTTTAAAATCCTTATTTTTAAATAATACGCCTTTATGAGCCGATATTGCCTGAGGGAAGCGTATGTTGAATCTAACAAGCAACCAAAAAAATTTAAAATAAATTCGCAGGGTAGGAAATTCCTTTTTTTTTTGAAACTATGAATTTTGGTTTTTCCTAATTTGTTGATGATAGTGGTGCACCATAACGTAAAACGAGATAAGGGCGCATTTTTGATAAGTATCTCCTGGATTAAAAAAAGAAGAAGAAAAAAACTCAATGAAACATGAAAGGTGCTTGCTACACATACGTCACAGATAATAATAATAATAATAATAAAGTTCATTTCAAAAACACGCTTCATCCCCAAAGGCTCGAAGCGCGGTACAAAGTCAACAAAAAACAAATCTATAATTTACCACATTTAAAACAAACGCAACACTACAAAAACTAAGTACAAGCATACAATGGCAAAGTCTTTCTAGCCATTTCAACCATAAGCAACACAGCCACGATATGCAGGACTATATGCAGGAGAGATCATTTATTTTTAAAAATCCTAACATGATTTTATCATAGATTGTCCCCTTTATAGTGTATTTATTTATCAAACTAGGGATTTCCTGGAGAATGTCTATTCTATAATAAGTAGTGATTAAGAAAATACTAATTTAAAAATTGAAAAACAACTTGAGACCGATTGAATTTTATTGCAAAGAGCAATAAAGTAACAACAAAATAAACAAAAGTAATTGAACCACATCGCTGATGGATCATTAGCTAGTATAAAATATGCTGGGGCAGGAGCGTATGAAGGGGGTACGGTGGCTTGGTGCGGGGGCTTATGTACTGCATTCAGGTGGGGCGGTCCACCCCGGGTGGTACTTTATTGCTTTATTTGGCGGGGAGTCATTTTCGACCAACCGTCTTTTTTTTTTTTTTCGTGGAAAAGTTTGCCAAAAATCTTGAACCCCCCCCCCCCCCGGGCAACATGTCTCTGTACCTGAACCATCTCACTGTCAAGAGTATGTGTCAATATAACCACCTCACTGTCAAGAGTATGTGTCAATATAACCACCTCACTGTCAAGAGTATGTGTCAATATAACCACCTCACTGTCAAGAGTATGTGTCAATATAACCACCTCACTGTCAAGAGTATCTGTCAATATAACCACCTCACTGTCAAGAGTATCTGTCAATATAACCACCTCACTGTCAAGAGTATCTGTCAATATAACCATCTCACTGTCAAGAGTATCTGTCAATATATAGATTGGTTATAACTTGTAACAAACATATGGATGAGGGTATGGACTGATGCCACGAATGTTTCTCAAGTCACCAATAAAATAAGGCATTGTCAAAACAATCGATCCGAATTGCCGTAGATTCACTGGACCGAGGAGACCCGGGAACGCTTTAGGTATTATGTCATAGGAGGAGAGGTCAGGATTGGGGGGTGGGACTTGGTTTGTTCATCAGTGTATGGTAGGCCAAGGTGGCCCTTAGGTACTCCCTTAGTGAAGGCCCCAGGGCAACAGAAAGAAAAATAGAGTGCATAATCTATGAGAGTCCTCTTGAGATATACATGTGGTTTATATTATGTATTAATGTGCAGCCATTGTCTTAATGTAGGCTAATTTCTTACTGCGCACTAGGGTCCACGGATTAGTAGGGACGCATCAAAGCCCTTGGGGCCCTGGACACATCTAACATATGGGCCTTTAGCCGTGCCTTTAGCAGTGCCTTTAGCCGTGCCTTTAGCAGTGCCTTTAGCCGTGCCTTTAGCAGTGCATTTAGCCGTGCCTTTAGCCGTACCTTTAATTCGTGCAACTAAGCTGCGATTATGACTAAGCCGCATATTCATTTATTTTTACACAAACCACGTGTGCAGAACTGAGTGTGACAAGCAGACGATAATGTACGTGGGGTCCTAACGCCCCTGCGCCATCGAGCCCCAGGCCCTGTGGTATCCGGCCCTGGCGAGACTTTGTTTGACCTGTGGAACCGTGCATCACAGCCACGTGACCTCTGACGCAGTTACAACGTTTCAACTTGATGGACACACAATTTTTAAAAAAAAAATTTAAAGAAATGGGTGGGTGACAAACAGGTTTTTGCACTCGGTACTTTCTAACGAATCAAATAAACAAACGTGTAAATAGGGTGGGGGATCAACTCTAGCTAAGTTAGTAGCAAACATGTTTACTCACAGACCACGCGTGCAGCACGCCAACAGATGTAAACACGCGCACACACACACTCACTCTCTTACCACTCACCAGCATGGACCTCAGCTCCGGGCTGCTCGCAGACAAGCCGCCACCGCCTTTGCCCCTGTGCTCGCCTTGATTGGATTTCGGCAGTTTGACCTTTACCATGAGGCATTCTGATCGCGACCGAGGCAGGAGGGCAGACATCGTTACCGGACTATCCGACACAAGGGGGGCACGTGCGCACGAGTAAACACTTGTAAGTACACAACAGAAGGCACGAGGGGCCCTTTTAAATGTACAAGGTCTGCCCTCACCACCCTCAACTCACGAGTGAGCCGAGGCAAGGCGTCTGTGGTGGCCTACTAGCGCCATGCAACAAGTTGGTCTATAGACACACACACGCACACAAATAAAATTTGAAAACATCCGACTCGGGAGCAAGACGAGGGTAATCTCTCTCTGACAGATAGCGTAGAAAGGAGATGCTATGCTATTTTTTTTTTAAAGGGAGAGCCCCCTGTAGTGCACGCACGAGCATTGAGTGTCCCTGTATCATTAATACCGGGGGGGGGGGGCGTTCACGGTTGTGAACTTAGCATTATAACCGGGTGGGAGGGGGGGTCAAGCGCATTAAATTTATGGCATTTCTTTCTTATCTTTCTTTCTTTCTTTCTTTCTTTCTTTCTTTCTTTTTTTTTTTTTACCATCTCCAACTCCTTCCCCTTTTAGCTACCCCGCAAAACTTTAAAAAGCCCCCCCCCACCCCCACCCCCCCCCTAACCACCACGGTGAAGAAAAACTCTTTCGTAAGAGATATGAAAGAGAGAAAGCGGTTTAAGACTGAAGACTTCGGTGTTGTTTCATCAACAGCACAGATAGCATTTTGTTGATGCAGTGTGAAGCTATTATGTTGTCAAAAAAAAGGGGTGGGGTGTTCTTAACACTTAAACATCTAAAGCAAGGCCGTAGCTAGGGCTTAATTTTTTTAAGTTATCCCCCCCCCCC